TAAGATTTTTATTTATTTATTTTAGTTCTCTTAGACCTTAAAAGTGTACTTTAAGTATGTACTTAGATTTAAAATGTTAGGTCAGTAATCAAAAGCTATTAAAAAAGTTTTCTTTTCATCTTAAATAATGAAAAATAAATAATGAATAATGAAATAGATTAGGGTACTACAATTTTAATCATGGAATTTGTCAGCAGTATAGCAAAATACAGCTAGTAAGTAATCTATTCAGCACTGCTCTGTTTTGTTTTGATGCAAAATAATTGTAATATACGCATATGTAAAAAAAAATATATATATACACATATATATATATATATATATTTATATATATATATATATATATGAGTTTGAAGAAAAGCACTCCAAAAGCATTCATGTAATCCAAATGCAGTCTTCCAAATGCACAACCACAGAAACGCTTCAGTGACTTAATACAGCTAGCATTTGCTAATCTTCTCAGCCTAAAAACTATTATTCACAACATTACTTCCCAAAATAATTTATCCAATTTGTATAAAATACAAAAAACTGCAACATAAGTGGATAACTACATATTTGATTTTGATTTTGAAAGTGTCAATGTAAATTAGAATATTTTTATTTTAATTACAAATTATTGAATGATTTTTGTAGGAAAAAGATTTATATAATCATACTTAGTATTCAATCATTCACTGTTTAAATTACTTAAAAGTTTATCAAAATATTCAGTAGCTTATACATGTTGAGAAATGTAAACAAGAGAAAGATAATATAAAAATATAACGAAGCACAGCTGCTAAACACCAAATTAGACACAGTGTGTTATGCTGAAGAAAGCACTATATTTAAACCTGTAATTTGCCCGCACACACTGTACAAAACATACTGAGTCACCAGAAATGAACAAGAAATACACGTTAAAGCACTTTGTTTCAATTTTGTCTCAAACAGATACTGTACATAGATACTGCACACCTCCATGTTGAATCTCATCAATAATCCAGCACACTTGAGAGTCTGCCTTCAATTGGGCAAAGGCGGTCTCAGCTGAATAGGGTGAGGTGCTGTTGCTACGGAAACACTCAGCAGAGTCCCATCAGGACCAACATGAGGAGACTAATAACAGTTTTTAACACATTGTTCTGTATGTCCCACACAATTTATATATAAATGAGTACATAGTACATGTTTCTATACATTTTTATGAGTAGTTGTTAAAAGTACCAACCGCTAAATTAAAATAATTTTTAAAATTAAAATCTTTTTAAGTATTTTAAAAGTCACCTTTGAGGATGTTCTTTAAAAGACCCAAAGAAAGGTTCGTTTTTTTTTCTGGGAACAAAACTAGCCAACAGCATCATCTAAATAGTATATATGCAGATCTTCTCCTCCATCTGGAAATAAATAGATCTCCTGCTGGCTTTGCTCAGTCAGCAGTTCTTGTCATTGATTAGACAGTTATATGAACTCCAGGCAGTCGAATAACAATTTCTCTTTCACACCCTATCAGGGCAAAAGACACCACATGCTTAACATTTATGTCATCCTGTCAGTTGTTATATACATAACATGCATACACATATTTATCGTATCTGTTTTTGTTTTCTGAAAATCCAAAAAGCAGCCATAACAATGAATAGGCATGCATGACCACAGTGTCCAGCTTAACAGAGCTGATGCCCTTGGGTTCAGCCACAAATTCAATACCTGACAGTCCCGTACAGTCATCAATCACAAAGTCAACTCCATTGGTCTGCAATCCTTTACATGATCATCTTGCTCATCTAGTACATAGTACAGACATGAAAATCCACGGGGTTATACCTAGGATTGTGTGGATTACTCTTTAATCTCCATTGTGTTCTTACATGTGGCTTTTAAATTAAGATACACTTGTTCATTTCAATTCAAATCTGCTTGGCTGGTCAAGCTGGTTTTAGTTTGTCATTCCACTTGGTCTCCCAGCATGACCAGCTAAAACCAGCCTGGAAAGGGCCAAAACCTCTCTAAAACAAGCCTGGTATACCAAAACCAGCAACCAGTTGGGTGAACATTGTCACATACGTGAAGTGTTATTAAACTTTTTCTCACACCGAGAACCATTAATATGACCTTCCAAAGAAGAGAAAAGAAGCTGGGCAATTATCAGGCAAATTGATTATCTCTTGCTGTGTGGTTACAGCAGACCAGCAAGAGGAAAAGAAGCACACTTTTAGCCTATTGGTTCGATACTGATGTTTATTATAATAATAATAATAATAATTATTATTATTATTATTAGTAGTAGTAGTAGTAGTAGTAGTAGTATTACAATTATTACAACATCAGTACAGACAGAAAACTCTTGTGTTTTGAACAACTTTTATGCAGTGCTCATTTTGAAGTATCTTGAATTAAGATCAGTCAGTGATAGTCAAGCAGGTGAAGGCTAATTTTCATTTAGACTTGCAAATTTTAATAATCATTCAAAACTATGTTGAAGGGCTTTAAAACAAGTCTACAATGGGCATTGTAGCCAGCTTTAGGGCTGTTCAATGAAATAGTTGACGTTTCATTCTGCTATCAATAGCGCCATCTGCTGCTTCAAATGCGACAGTTGTAAGAGCGATTAGCAGGAGTAATCGAAGCGTTTTAAACCACGTTAAAATAAGCGTATCGACAGTCAGGAAAGAAAAAACAATTCTGAATCAATACTTTAATACTTACTTTAGAAGAAATAATGTCAAATCTGCATCGTTTACATAACTGTTAACAGGAGAGCGCCATGTTGGAATGTTCCATTTCTTTAACTAAAAAGGTGGTATCAGATTTAGGGAACGGGGTTTTCCTAATATAATAATATATATATATATATATTATTTATTAATGCGCTTTAAAAATGTGAATAGATTTTAGTAAACAAATCAACATAAATAGTTTTATCTGCTACAATATTGATTCGTACTTGCATGTCTGATAGAAAGTGCACAGTCGGTGTGAGTGTTTGAGTTCAGGTAATTAATGTAATGAGATGTTTGAGGGGAAAAGATTGGGGTGCAAGCTCACTATCTCAGTATAGAATATATGTAGCTCTAATAACGTCAGTGTGAGATTAGGGTAGTGTATAGTGTATGGTTCAGCAGCCAAGTCAAACTTGAATAAATTATAAGTAATTTAGGCTCAGGCACTGAGAATATGTAGTGGAGCTTTGAAGACAACACCCGTGTCAGCTATTCAAGTGGAAATGGGAGAATTGATACTGGAATTAAGAAGGAAGCAGTTGATGGCTTATTATTGGGTAGGTTTTCAAGGGCATACAAATTCACATATTACTAAGGCAGTATTACAGGTGAGTTAGAAAAATGGACAAAGTCAAAAGGAGAATTTGGGTCGGTGTGGAAAGATGGTGGCAAAATAATTAGGAGTGTTTAATTTGAGAATAAGTTCTACTGTCATCTATCCAGAAATTGCTCCATGGATAGTGTGGCCTGGGGTTGACTGGTTTGTGCTATAGGAAAAGAATGAGGCTGGATAGCATAAATCTGGAAAGAATATTTAACCAAAGGGTCGAAGAAAAATACAAAGAGTACACACAGATCATTACTGATGGAGCAAACCCAGAAACTGGAGTGTTTGGATTGGGGTAGTTATACCAGGGAAAAAATATTGAAATAAATAGAAGGACATCTGATTATGTGGGAGTGCTCACAGTGGAGGTGCTAGCTATGTTATAGCATTAAGATGGGTAGAATTGACAGGGCAGGACAAAATCGTGCTATGTTCAGACTCCGCATGTGCTCTTGCAAGTCTAAGGTCATTTTCTTCAAGTAGACAAGAAATTTTGTATGGAGTACTCCAGTGTATAACAAAAATAACATGTCAGAGAAAGGAGGTGAAGTTTATATGGGTTCCAGGTCATGATGGGATCAAGGGAAATGGCTGACAAATTAGCAAAAAGTGTGTTAACAAAAGAAAATGTAGAAATGCCAATAACGGTTAGTAAAGCAGAAGTGAAAAAGTCTAATATGGGTAATAATATTATTTAAAAGTGGCAAGAGAAGTGGGACAGAGAAAAGAAAGGAAGGCATTTGTATGAAATTCATCAGGTTGTTAAACACAAAACAGTCAGTAGTGGTAACAGGCGAGAAGAAATAGTGATAACAAGATCATTGTTTATTAAATAAAACACTTAAATTGATAGGAAAGCACGAAACTGGATTATGTGAGGGCTGTAGTGAAGTGGAGTCAGTAGAACCTGTGATACTAAAATGCAAAAGGTATGAAACACAGAGGGAGGAAATGAGAAATAATCTAAGGGAGATGGGATTCAGGAAATAGCATTAAAAGGTTTACTAAGTACAAAGGACAGGATTCAGACCAGAATACTTATAAAGTTTCTGAGAGAAACAGGTGTTTTAATGATAGCATATAAAATAAATGAATAAATAATTTAAATTATAATAGAAGGTAAAGTGCTGCTGATGATGTGACAATAAAAGTGATTTGATTTGATTTAAAGGGAATAAAGTTTAATATAACCAAGTAGTAGAAGTAAAAGTAGGAGTATAAGAGTACTGTGGTGGTTATTATTATTAGTATTATTAGTATTATTATTATTATAGTATTAGAGTACATTGTAGTATTAGAGTATTATGGTTATTATTATAACATAGGGTTGAGGTGTGTGTGTGTGTGTGTGTGTGTGTGTGTGTGTGTGTGTGTGTGTGTGTGTGTGAGAGAGAGAATTGGTGGAAAAGAAGGAAGTGGGGGGCTGTGGGGGGGGGGGGGGGGTGTATTAATCTATAAACCCAACCTCTGGTCCACACTCCGGAGCTGAAGGTGGCAGTAAAGCACCAAAACGCTGGATGCCAACCGCCGTAAAATTATTTGAAGAAGAAGAAGTGAGTTCAGTTCAGACATGGCGCTGCAGGCACTAAACATTTGGACTCGTGTTATTCTGACCGACGCGTCCAGAGCAGCGGTGTTTCGGGGAGCCCTGCAGTCACACTGTTTCAAGTGTCGACATGGAGGTACATAATTGGGAATAAATGTGAATATTTAGTTGGCTAAAGTCAATGAACTGACACAATTGAAAGAGGTGCTAAGCACAAGTTACCTACCAACGCTCCCGTTTTCCCTTAAACTAACGAGCTGTTGTTTTATAAATAGAATCTAACGTGACGGGTTTGACAAAATAATAAAAACACTTAGGAAACAGATGATATTTCTGTAATATAGCTTAACCTTCCTAGCACCCCCCCCCCCAAATGTCATTAAAGTAACAATGCTTTTATATTTGCACATTCAATCAGTGACAACTGACGACGATCCCAACAAACACACAACGTTGCCTCAACGTAGCGACCTTCCTACAACGTTGTACCAACATTGCAAAAAGGTTGAGGATTCTACGTTGTTTCTAAAGGTTGTCACAACGATGTCATAAGGTTGCCATTTAAACATCATGAGGGTCGCATGCTTTAGGTTGTGCTTAGGTGGCGTGGACGACCACTGTACAACATTTACTGGTCACAGCTGAATCAGTTTAAATTTCAACAAGCCGTCGTCTCATTCATCAACGACCGAGGAGACGTGAGTATTGCTTTATTTCTTCATGCTAAATAAGATACATAAATCGTGAATATTCAAACAAACCTATGATTTCGACAACAATCTGTTCCAACATCACACACACACAAAAGCCGTAATGAAGTTATTACGAGCGAGTAACATTTCGGCATTCCGTTAACGGACGGCAACAACATTAAAATCATTATGTTAAATCTCTCGATAAAACATTTCCTGATTATTTACCTACGCCTTGTCTTTAGTCAAATGGACAATAATGTTTTTGAAGTTCAGTTTTTTCCATATCCATCGTGATCAGTTAGTATGATACTTCATCACACAAGCCGACCCACTTTTTACAAAACACAAAATAACTTTTAAAAACAAAACATCTCTGTGCAGATTGCGTCCCGTTAAAGGAACAGTTCACTCAAAAATGATATGTACTCACGAATTATTTGCCCTGTAAATAATAAGTGATTCCAAACCTTTAAGTTTCATTATTCTGTTGAACAGTAAAGACTGTAAGCATTTGCTTTCATGGTAGGAAAACACTATGGATTTAAATAGTTACAGTTTTCCAGCTTTATTTAATATATCTTCTTTATTGTTTAGCAGAAAAAAAGCTAAATAAGTTTGGAACAAATAAAGAATGAGGCTAAAATGGCAGAATTGTCAGTTTTGGGTGAGCTATCCCTATAAGTTAAAGTATATAAATTGAGGTTCATATGCCTAATTAATATAGATAGTAATTAAAAGGTCTGCTAGTCTAAATTTCTATTTTGATTGGTCTTTTGATGTTTTATTTAAAACCCACTCTTCTCTTTGCTCAACAGGCTATTTTTACATGGAGGTAATCTTCTATTGATAATTTCTGGATTTTAATTATGCGTAAGTTGCATGAAACTATTGTTTAATCACTCACTGTTGTTTTCAAATTACTTATGTAACTTGTCTTTCAGAATGTTTTCAGCTGTTGAATAATATCTATATAGAGGTAACGTTAAAGTCGGTTTTATATAACTTACGCACATTTGTTCATTTAGAAATTTAGAAGTCTCTATATTGTTTACCATGTTACTTTGAATATTCAATAATGTTCGAATTGGCATGCAAGTGTGACTTGAAAACAACATTATAGACTGTTTATTTGACCGTGGACATGTACTTTGATAGTCATTGGCTGCTAATATGATTTCGCTATTTTAAATTTGCAAATAATACTTTTCTGAAATTATATTATTAAGGGGAAATACCGAATGTGCGAATATAATACCAACTTTACCTCTATCTGACGACGCTCCTTATATTGTTTACTCTGGTACATTATTCGTCCTTAAATCACGTAAGCAGGACTTCAACGCAAAATGAGCAATGCTTTACTTTAATAATCACTGGCTGTTAATATGAAATTTGCAAAGAAATCTTTTCTGAAAATAAAATTTTTAATGTTATTAAGGAGAATTTCAGAATGTTTGTGTGTAAAACCAACTTACCTCAATTCAAGATTTATAAATCTTCAAATGCGAAAGACAAACCAAAAATGCTAATAAAGATATTCACTTTATTGTGACCAGATAGTATAAATGTTATTTCACTATTCAGTCATTAGGAAACAGGCAGCTTTTATTTATTTTAGTAAATTCATAACATTTTAACTATAATAAAAAAGGAAGCTAATAAAATAGAAAAAAATCGATAACTTACTTATTTTTACTATAAGTGATGAATTAAATAAATTAAACATAACAATCACAACATTTAGTTTTTCTCTGTGGCTTTCACAAGTGGTAACAAACTCTAAAATCTTTTGTGTGTTTTAATATTTTGTCTAACCCATGTATAGCACTGTGTTAATAAAACAACACTGTTGTCCTCACAGGTCTAATTGTGGATTGAAAAACTGGTTACCCATTTTCTCTTTTTAATATGTACCTTGTTTGATCTGGCGTCTAAATATTTCCAAAAACAATCTGGTGATTAGACAAATTATGAATTTGGTTTACAGAAAGTTGGTCAGAGGAACTGAATTGTTAAACATTCTTTCAGCCAAGCGCTTTCTCTTATCTGAAGATGTGGTGAAGCTGGAGGAGTTCCAGCAGAAGAAACTCTCCCATGAAATGTCACAATTGAAAGGCAGGCATCATTTACCTTATCATACACATTTCTGTTGTTCACATCTTATTACTTTTAAGGTACTTTCAGTTGTATCTGTCTCATTAATAAGTTCTATTTTAACAAGAGATAAGAACATTAGGATTTACAATATAGACTATTGCATGCCATTTAAAAAACTTCAGTCTAAAAAAATGTGTTTTCATTTACATGATGTGAATCGGCTCACAGAGGCTGACTTGATTAATTGAAAGCTATGATATTTATCTTAGTATTTCTGTTATCAGACAGTTTGGCAGTTATCAGTTACGGCTGCTTGCATCAGTAACAAAAAAACTTTTTTTTCTGCGTGATGCTACTGCAGTATTAATTTATGCTACTGTCGCGGTAGCCACTACAGCATATACAAAAGTCATTGATTGCACCTTTACAACTCAGAACTGACGGTTCTCTGTTTTTCCTGAGTGTTTTTCTTTTTATCTTTACAGATTATCGTTTTGATATAGTGAATCAGAAACTGGAGAAAAATGAGATCATTTTAAAGACTGAGCTGAAAACTCTACTGCATTCATGCCAGTCTGCTGAGGATGTTATTGTGGCCAGAAATGTCATTAAAAGGTAAAATTTCATTGGTTATTATATATTATTGTCATTAAGCAATAGTAGTATTTATATGACAAGGGTAGTTACATTAGTTTGTTAGGGGTCTATTATACACACAGATATGTATTTAACAAAACAAACAAAAATCTTTGATTAATATTTTGAAATGTTTCCTTCCTAAAGACAACAAATGTTGTCTTTAACTTTAACAGTGTTTTAATTAATTTAATGAATTGTTTCAGGAAAAAAATCATTGCACTCATCGTAAATGGTAGTTGTTGTTTCCCCACAAATTATATTTATAGTGTATAGCTTTTTAATCATTTCAAATCATAATTAAAAAAAAAAAATCAGAAAAGAAGTGAAACAATAATTTTCACTTTAATATTTTTGTTACATTTTATTTTTATGTTAGTATTGAAGCTTAATCGGATATCTATAATTTCTGCACACTACCAGTCAAAAGTTTGGGGTCAGTATTTTTTTATTCTGTTCATCAAGGCGACATTTATTAAATGTAACAAAAATTGTTAAATAAAAAAAAAAAAATTAAAAGATAATTTCTTATTGTATGTGGTTTCAAATTAAATTATTACTCCAGTCATTGTTGCTTTCATTACTATTACCAATAAAAAATAATAACAGTAAAAATAACAGGGATTGCTGAAGGATCATGTGACTCTGAAGACGAGTATTGAAGCTAAAAATAATTTTTTAAAATCACTGGAATAAATGATGAAATTAAATGATAAACTACTTTTGAACAGTTATGTTATAGTGCAATAGCATTTCACAATTTTAAAATTTGTACTGTATTTTTGATCAAATAATTGCAGCCTTGGTGAGCAGCAGAAGCTTATTTCAAAACATTTAAAAATCATACTGACCCCAAACTTTTGACCGGTAATGTAATTTTTTTTTGTGTATGTGATAACCGCATTCTCCTTTTATATCTGTCCATTGATACAGATACCATGAAAATAATCGAACCACAGCGTTTGGGGAATTCAAGTTTGGTCCTCTTTTCATGAGATTATGCTATGAACTGGGTTTAGAGGAGCTGGCAGCCACAACTATAAAAGATCCGGTATGTCAAAATCAACAAACATTATATAGTATTTAAGCTATCTGTTTACTGGAGACTACACAGTGCTGTAGTGTGATTTTAGATTGTTTTTTTTTTTTGTTTTTTTTATGCACAGGCTCTCAAAGGATTTTTTTCAGACACCACTTCTTTTAATATCACCATTGACATGCTGTTTAATAAACAACTCTATGAAAGTAAGTTATTTGAACTTAGCTCTTTGTTCTAGTGGAGAATGATACTTGAATATGTCCATTAGAGCAGTGTTTCCCAGCCATGTTCCTGGAGGCACACCAACAGTACATTTTTTAAATGTCTCTCTTATCTGAACCATACATTTCAGGTTTTAAATGTCTTCTAATGTTCTGATGATTTAATTCTGGTGTGTTTGAACAGGAAGAGGTTGAAAATGTGTACTGTTGGTGTGCCTTCAAGAGCAGGGTTGGGAAACAATGTATTAGAGGACTGATGAATGTCTTAAATTTGAAAAACCCTTGACACAAATGCTTATCTGAGATTTGTGAGGGAATTCATCACCAGAATCCTTCATCAGTTCTGCTTTCTGGCTGCAAAACATGCAAAAAACAAAGTCTGTCTGTTGTTGCCATGGTTTCAGTCTTTGTGATGTGGGTCACTGATCATGTTCCCACAGGTGGCTTGGAGGTGGTAGGAGAAATGAAAAAACAAGGAGTGTCGCTCAGCAGAGACACCTTCATGCTTGTCTTCGCTATTTGTTATAAACTGGTAAACACACTCAAGAAGCCACTATGTGTATTGTAGTAAAATCAATAAGATTTATCAGAGATTTCTGATAGAAACTATAGAAAAGACAAACTAATTTCACCACATGAAAACCAATAAAAGACTAAATATTTTTCAAGAGATTGTTCACACAAAAATACAGATTCTGTCATCTGTTACTTATTGTCCACGTTTTCCAAACCTGTTAAATGTACTTTCTTCTGTCGAAGACAATTTTATGAAAGTTGGAAACCAGCAGCCAACGTTTATAGTGCTTGTATAGTACTATTGATATTAATGCCTACTGATTTTCAAAATTCTTTAAAATATCTCCTTTTGTGTACAACAGAAGAAATGAGTTCATAAAACATTGGGAGCAATTGAGAGTGAGTATTATTTACAAAAAAAAAAAAAGTTGAAAAAAAGTTGGAAAAAAAAACTATCTCAGTTTACTTTTCCTGAGATGAAAATGTTCTTATTGTTATCACAACATGCCATGTTTCGTGTCTGTTTCATATGAGATTTTTATAACTCATATGGTTTTTCTATAAAAACGTGGCATTTGACTACAATTTCAAGTAATGTTAAGTAAAACTTTTTGATTTTTAATTTACACACTCTATACACATTTCTGTTTTTATATCTTGGGACTGGCAGAACACCTCAAGGTCATATCATATATGTTTGACCCTGTTGGAAGAAGGTCAGACAAAAGGCAACATCATCCCTCGACGTGCCTATTGCTTTGCAATTGCTCTTGCTTTAAAACAGGTAAACTGATTCAAAGAGCAATATCTAATTTAAAAATTGTATAATCAAGCCCAGTATTATTTATTCCCCTGGCAAATTTTGACTGACACTTTTTGTTAAAAGGTAAATAAAATTTGATTTAAAAAAAACAATTTCCACAATGATGCCTCTTGTAGATTGTCTTTTGCGTCATTTGCGCTTAAAAACATCTTTCTGGTTGAATAAAAGTAACTTTTAGTCAGAATTTGCCAGGGGTATGAATAATTTCTGGCTTGACTATACAGTGCTCAGCATATACAAGTACACCCCTCACAAATCTATCTTTTAAAGTCAGTACAGAGGTTAAATCTGGAGCATATGAAACAAAATAACTTATGACGATGGTCCAAAAACTAGTACACCCAAATTTACGTTATAAAAAATATTAAATACAAATTTAAAAAGAGGAAAAATCAAGAGAAGCAAGAAAAAAAAAAGTAAAATTGTGTTGAAATTTTGTAGGTTGTAAATTTTTTTGCTTGAATTTAATTGTATTTTTTTTTCAATTTGTAAACGTTTGATGACTTAAATATTATTTTAATAAATATATCTGTTTAATAAATCTGATGTTTAAATGCACCAAAATACATTGCCCATATTCACTGAGAAATTGATAAAAAATATTCATAATGGCGTGTACTCAATTATGC